AAAAGTAAATTATTAAGTAAATTTTAAATGTGTTGAGAAGTATTTAGAATCATCATTTTAATAAAAATGACTACTCCACATCAACTTTCAGGACAGTTAAATAAGATTTAATTAAAAAAATAGGATAAGATAAAAATATCATGAAAATTTTATAATTTTTAGTTTAACTTACAGCTGTAGATGATAAATTTATTTAATGTGGATCAAATTCACTTCACCTATTAGTAGCCATGAAGGCTGATCTCACTTAATAATAATTTTTAAATATTAGGATTGAGAATACTTCCATAATTGGAGGGAATTTTGCCAAATGTAATTTGAATGGTTCCACATTTAATAATATAGATATTTGTGGGATAAATTTAAATGGAGCCTAGTTATTTAATTGTAAATGGAAAAATATAAAAATCCATGAATTAAATAATTTGTTAGGTCATAGTAAAAATGTTCGTTCAGTTTGTTTTTCTCCTGATGGTTCTTTATTAGCATCAGGTAGTGATGATAAATCTATTCGTTTATGGGATATTAAGACAGGATAAGAAAAAGCCAAATTAAATGGACATAGTGATAATGTTTTAACAGTCTGTTTTTCTCCTGATGGTTCTACATTAGCATCAGGTAGTGATGATAAGTCTATCCGGTTATGGGATGTTAAAACTTATTAATAAATATTAAAGATGGATGGCCACACTAATGATGTAAACTCAGTATGCTTCTCTCCTGATGGTAAAACATTAGCATCAGGTAGTGATGATAAGTCTGTCCGATTATGGGATGTTAAAACAGGATAATAAAAATCCATTTTGAATGGTCATAGGGATTATGTTTTAACAGTATGTTTCTCTCCTGATGGGTCTACATTAGCATCAGGTAGTGATGATAAGTCTATCCGTTTATGGGATATGAAGACTAATTAATAAAAAATATAAATGAATGGTCACACTAATGATGTAAACTAAGTATGCTTCTCTCCTGATGGTAAAACATTAGCATCAGGTAGTGATGATAAGTCTGTCCGATTATGGGATGTTAAAACAGGATAATAAAAATCCATTTTGAATGGTCATAGGGATTATGTTTTAACAGTATGTTTCTCTCCTGATGGGTTTACATTAGCATCAGGTAGTGATGATAAGTCTATCCGTTTATGGGATCTCAAGGTAAGATAAACAATAAATATTTTTTACGGTCATACTAATGATGTCAATTCACTATGTTTCTCCCCTGATGGTGCTACATTAGTATCAGGGAGTGATGATGAGTCTATTCGTTTATGGGATGTTAAGGAAGGCAAATTAAGAGACACACTTTAAGGCCACAAAGCAATGGTCTAATCAGTATGCTTTTCTCCTGATGATACTACATTAGCATCAAGTAGTTATGATAATTCTATTTGTTTATGGGATGTAAAGACAGGTTAATAAAAAGCAAAATTGAATGGTCACACGGATTATGTTTTAACAGTCTGTTTTTCTCCTGATGGTTCTACATTAGCATCAGGTAGTGATGATAAATCTATCTGTTTATGGGATGTTAAGACTTATAAATAAATATTAAAACTGGATGGTCATACCAATGATGTCAACTCAGTATGCTTCTCTCCTGATGGTACTACATTAGCATCAGGTAGTGATGATAAATCTATCTGTTTATGGG